AGAGCGTTCCCCACCGAACCTCAACCACCAGGTCCGGATGGCAGTGTCCCCCGCCGGACACCAACCGCCAGCTCTGGATGGCAGTGTTTCCCACTTCAACCGCCAGCTCCGGACGGCAGTGTTCCCTGCTGGACCTCAACCACCAGCTCCGGATGGCAGTGTTCCTCCCGCACCTCAACGGCAAGGGCCGCGTTGCAGTGTCAGTGTTCCCCGCCGAGCCTCAACCGTCAGCTCCGGACGGCAGTGTTCCCCGCCGGACCTCAACCGTCAGCTCCGGACGGCAGCTTTCCCCGCTGGACCTCAACCGCGAGTCAGAAGATATGCCAGATAGAACACCAGAAAGAATGTCAAAAAATATGCAAGAAAGAATGTCAGAAGACTTGCCAGGAAGAATGTCAGAAAATATGCCAGATAGAATGTCGGAAGAGATGCCAGAAAGAATGTCAGAAAATTTGCTGTAAATAGTGTCAGAAAGAATGTCAGAAGGTCAGAAAGAATGTCTGACATGTTGCCCAAAAAATGTCAGAAAAATGTTAGAAAATATGCCAGAAAAATGCCGAAATAAATTTTCAATACATGCTAGAAAATTGGTCAGGTTGAAATGTCATGGTGGGGATCACTCGAAGTAAAGTATTGTTTTGTGGTCCTGTGCAGTGTATAGCTTCCAATAATTGCTACTAGCTACCTACGTACCTCCTCTTCCCGGTTTGAAAAGTCTAGATTCTTCCAGGTGACTCCTTTGGTGTTGACCGAATGGCTCGACTATCCAGGCGCCATAAGCTAAAACTTCTGGAGCCGGAGCCTGTGACGCACAACTCTCAGCACGCGATTATGCTGTTTGCCAAAAACCCTCCGGGAACCCAACTGGATCCCATGGCTTCCCACCATGGCATTCTTTATGGGGCCACGGGCCGCCAAGGGGGTCCCTTGAATTTGTGGTTTGCATGAATTTGCATGTGATAGGACACTGGATATTTTCCGGTTTGACCTCACATTGTGGTTCTGGTGTTGTATGAAGATTCTGGGCCAATAGGTTCTCCTCAGGGTCCTTTTGCCGGTGCGAGGTCAGAACCAAAGCAGCGATCTTTTGCAAAAGAGATGATTCAAGCGATGAAGGAGAAACTCTTTGGAACCAAATCAACAAGAACGCCTCACTTCGAGAGAGGTAAACTTGTTGCAAAAAACGCATGATGTGAATTTGTTGCATCTTCCCATGTTTTGTTTATGTCGTGGGCATTTTATTAGAAGTAATTGAGCCAAGAGCTGGAACCGGGATGTGCCAAGTTTTTCGGAGACCTTGGAAGGATGTGTTTAAATGTTTTTAATACAAATTGTGCGTTCTTATTCATCATTCTCCATGGTCGCCCGTGATGTTTGAGAATGTACGCCGGCAAAACATGCCAAGAACAAAGCAGCCTTATCTTTTCATGTTCACTAAAATCATGCGGTGTAATCACATTCAGGTGAGGTTGGAATTGCGCTGATGATATGCCATGCATTGGGTTAGAAAGGGTTGCACGATACTGTGTTCAGATCAATGTGGTCCAAGATGGTCCAAGTGCTTTCTTTTTTGAGGAGAAGAATGTCGACGCTCTCCAATGCATCATCGACGATGCACTGAAGCAGGGAGTGCAGCTGCAAGGTCTTGAGGTGGAGATGAGATAAGCAACAATCATGTGATATGATATATATATATATGATAATATGTTGTAAGTCTTAAGATAGAAGCTGAACACCGCTTGTTAGTGAAACATAGTGAAACCATTTGCAACTATAGACTGTTTTAGGACAGGGGACCAAGCACGGATGCACTTTATGTCGATTTCACCACCACCACAATTATTGTTTCTAGGTTCTCGACATGTCATTCTTGCCGTTCATGTGTTTTGTTTACATGTTTTACATGTTTTTACAATGAATGGTTCAAGCGCCACCTGTTCTTGAAGTGTCAGTCGAACGCCCTTTCAAGGCAGCCCGCCGCAAACTGGCAGAATGGGGTGCCAAGCCACTAGACGCAGCCAAGAGGTCGGCATATCAAAGATCGATCTGGGCCCAAGTTAGCCCTTGAAGAAGCGATCCGGTGCACTAAATTCTGTGTTGTGTCAATACGTGTCGATCCGATGTTTGAAGCCGCAATTGCTGACATTAAAGAATAGGACATGATCTAATCCGTAGTGACAACCAAGAATTCTGTTTGAAGTCAAAGATCGACCGCGTCATGATTCTGTTGGAAGGACACCCACCACTTCTTCGACCGTGCAGCTACGCATCGTGCTGCCGGATGGCAGGACGGAGACCATCTCATGATTTGGGGAGATGTCGGATTGGGCCTTCCTGGATGTGCATGTTTTGTATGTCAAAGAAAGGACAGAAAGCAAGGAAGGAAGGAAGAAAGGAAGAAAGAAAGGTCAAATGTTCTTCCGTTATAATCTCTGGAGTGTTTGTTCTTTTTCGTTGCAAGACGAAACCTCTCAAAAAAAGTTGTCCAGATCTGCACTGCTCCTAACTTAGCTGACTAGAGTCCCTCAGAAGTGGTGAAGTGGTGAGACAAGATTGATTCCTGTTCAACACTTCATACTATATCGTTCTGGTCTCATTGTATGCTATAGTAGTTCAGCAGACATGAGAACTGAGTAAACATTCATGACTTTCGCCATTGCAATGAGTGCAGTGCAAGGCGGGGTTGGCTGCCGGTGGACCGGTTGTGGACAGGCAGCGTTGTGTTATCAAGCCTGCCCATCCAGGAGCCACGCTAAACAAGACAGCGGGGGGAGACACGAGTGGCCTCGCGGCCAAAATTTCTTTGACTCGTGAGATTGATTGGGATGGTACCAGGTCACCTGTATGCGTCAGTGCGCAGACTCAGACCCTTTCTCTCCCTGGATCAACCCCCTTGGCTATATGTTAAACTGCCCCACCCTCCCCTACTTGGCCATTTTCAGTAACATGTTGGCCAGGAAGCCGCACACTATTTGGGTTGCTCTTGCAGCCAGCAATTGAATTGTTTTGAATCAGTATTTGGCAATGAGCGAGCTGACTCAATATGTTTGTTTATTTTACACTTTGCGTTTGCGACAGCAACGAATCTCTCACAAGTTTAGAGAGTGGATGTTTTTCTTGGCTTCCTTGCAACGGGATGCCGATGCGCAGGAGGATCGCAGCAGCTTGCATTTTTGCTTAGCGCAAGAGACAACGCTCCGTGGCGCGGTGGAGTTCTTGGAGCAAAGTCTCAGTCTGGAGAGGTGGGGTCACTGGACTTTGCTTTTCCTGTTTGGGTCACTAATAGCTTGTTGTTACTAGTAGCGATGCACTTGTTACTAGTAGCTTCTTGTTACGTTTGCCGAAGGAATGAAAAAGATCACTGTGAATCCAACTTTTCTTGTGAGCCTTCCTTGGGCTGGATTCCTTCCTTCCTTCAGGACCCTGGCAGAACAACCAGAATTCCTGGAGAAGGTGCTTGTGGGACACTGCTGGACCAATGAATGCTGCTTGGACATGGCAAATAACCATATTATGTGGCATACGGCGTACACCTACTAGTTGAGGCTTGTCATTGAAGATCATTGGCCATGCAGTTCACTTGGATGCGGACTCATTGCCAGGGTGCAGCACTGGCATGCAGGAGCTGCGCTTGATAAACATAAGACTCAGGCGGCTTTGATCGTGCTTACTTACTTTTGTAGGACTGTACGTTGTCGAAGCGAATAGCTTACACAGAGAGTTATAAATTATGATGCCTGCAGGGTAGAGGTAGAGTCTTGGACTGTCAAATGTGCGAGGAGATTATCCGAGGCGATCCGGAGCTGAACACGGTTTTGGTAGCATAACATGTGTTGTTGCCCTGAAGTCAAGAGTTTCATGAGTTCTCACACATCAGGCCCGGCACGTAGAGTCCAGTAGGATTATACAATTTGGCCGCTGTGTTGACCTTAGAGGAAGTGTGAGAACGCAATTGAGATATATTGAGATGGTATTTGATATCCCCACTGGGTGGGACTTGGCATAGCAATGGAGCACAGAGTGCTTCCCTCCTTCAAGTTTCATTCTACACTTGACACCTTGGTGCTCGTTTGATCGTGTACCGACAGGCCGCCCTTTGGGAGGACGCCGCCAACCAAGATAGCTGCGAAGGATTTCGTCAAAAGATTGAGATTAGAGCAGAGCATATACTGTATTTAATATAGTTAACACTGCGACTAGGTCCACACTTGATACGGCCGTGGATGTTTCTTTCAGGGGGACCAGAGAGAAGTTTCGCGCTTTCATGAGCTTGAGACGTTGATTGCTTTGTGGCGTTCATCAATTGCTTTTGCAAGTTCACAGCATCGCCCAAAACCTTTCTGTTCAATATTTATAAGCAAGAATTGCGCAAGGTTGCGTAAGGACTTTGCTGAAGCACTATGGTGTAAAGTGTAAGCAAAGTGGGATAGTAAGTTTTCTTGTCCATGTGTTAATATTACAGTGTTTGCTTCTATGTTCAACGTCACAATCGTTTGTGTAAGCATAGCGCAAGCATTTTCACTTCATGTCCACAGCATGGTGCGTAAGCTGAAATGCGAGTTGCAAAAGCAAAGCGTCGTACGCAGCTCCTCAAGACCGTTGGCTAGAAAAAAGTGTTGAACAACGCTCACATGAACGTTAACACCACCCCACACTGCCCCCCATCACTTACCCCACTTGCCCAGCGTAGTATCAGTAGCGTTTCCAAGTGCACAAAATACCAAAATACTGCTAGTGTCATGCAAAATTGTGTCCGAGCGTCAAAAGTTTGGCAAATGCTGAACGAAGCGTCAAAAGTACCCCAATACATCCAACTACCGTACAGCCCAGACCATCAAGCTTGTGCCAACTAGAGCGCAGACTTTTATTTTGACTGATTTGAGCTGTCCAAGTGTGTCGTTTGCAAGGGTTTTGGGAATATCTCAGGTCATGAAGGGCCTTGCTGAACCCTTTCCTTCCTTTGTTCAGGTGCTCCCGGCATGTAAGACTGGACCTGGTCAGAACCATAGGCAGTCTTGAAAATTACTTGCAAACCTCGTGCTTTCAAAATATTGAGGCCAAGCTGACAAGCTCTTCCCTTTATGCGCAGATTTGTGAGGTTTCAAGCCCGAGACTTTTGAAGGCCGGTGGCTTGATTCCTTGAAGCACCATGGCAACGTCGATGATGGCAAGCTTGAAGGCTCCTTCCAAACCAGAGGAATGGATTCCCACAGAAATTGTCCCGGAGACAGACTTGAGTTTGCCTCGGAAAAGCATTGAAGCTCAGCACAAGCCGGAGGAGGAGCTTGCAGAGGACCCGGCCCCTTGTCCGTATGAGGTGGATGATATGCAGGATCCATTCCCGTATATCATGAAGCAAGATAGCAAGAAAACGCCACGCTCTTCCTACTACCAATGGCACTTTCCTGAAGGTCTTCCAAAGGATCATCCAGCCTCACCAAATCGTCGCTTACATGAGACGCGTCAAGCAGCCATGAAGGAGTTTATGACTGAGATGCAACAGAGTCCTACACTTCTAAAGCGTGAGATTTGTGCTCGAAGAGGTGAGCCTCAGCGCTGGTTTGAGCCACTGGTCGACTTTCTCAGGTGCAATTGACGGAGCGACGGCAGGAAGAAGGAGGAACGGAACAGAGGGCCATGGAGGGCCATGGGTCGTTAATGAGACAGAGGTCCATGGGCCATGGGTGCCTCGGTTTGCGAGACGTGGTCCCGATGTCGGCTCCAATGCAGCCATGACAAGGGACAGACTAATTGAATAGTGCCCAAGGCACCGTCAATTTTGATTTTGATATTTGACATAGGAGCATTGATTGAATGCCCCAAGTTGTCACTCTATCCAAGCAAGGATGGTTTTGGCTCGAGATTGATATATGACAAGCATCCGCAATCCCATTTTGGCAACACATTTGATTCATAAGGGAGCCATGCCAAACAACTGATTTTTTCAAGCATGAAAGCACACCTGCGCACACTTCATGGAAAGGCATCATTTGCTGCTTTATTTACTGTATCACATCCAGTTGTGAATTATTATCAGTGTTCTTGGAACCCTTGACTGTGGACCCATATTCCGATACACTTCGATGCCACGTCTTTCCATCAATGAGAATCGATGACAAAACGCTTGTCGTTTGGTCTAGGAGAGTAGACCGCTCGGATCCACTCAGGCAAAGCAGACCCTCCCCAGCAAATACATCGAAAGTATTGGTCTGACAGTGCAGAATCAATCCAGTTGCAGACTGGATGGGGACCCTGAGAATCTGTATTTGATTTGAATTTGCATCTTCACTGCGTGTGCAAGGTGCACGTTCACAGATGACTATCAAGACTGCTCCGTCACTCCGGGATTTTTCTTTCACATCGCCAATTCCAGAAGGAAAGGCTCCTACTGAGTCCACCTCTGGGAGGCATGAGAATGCTTAGGCCACCCTCAGGTCGCAAGGTGCAGTCCCACGAGATTCCTCAAAAGAAGTCTAGAGTCTAGAAAGAGACTAGACAGTTGGATTGAGATGGATGGAATTCGAATGCTTTGGTTGCACGCAGTTGGTTGTGCCAAATTTGTCAACAGCCAGGACCAAGGTCTCTCTCTCTCTCTCTTTCTTTTGAGGAGGCTCCAGAGGTGGCAGTTCTTTTTCCCCAAGCAAGACTATGTCCCGGCCATTGAAGATCATGTCCCTCAGCTATGAGACGTTGCTATTTGCTGAAGCGACCTCATTGTTGATGTATCAGCCGCAATACTGTTCGACAAATGATTGTCCTATGTTGTAACACATGTTGTGCCGGGAACAAACACTATCTATTTGTTTTACAGGAAGGTTTGGAATCGGTTCTTTTGCTACACTTTGGTCGCCGAACCAGCAACTGGCAGCACAGCAGCTTTCTAGCTTGCGACTCTTGATTTGAACAGCATCAGGATGGTAGACAAAGCCAAAGTCGTCAAGTTTGCATGGGTTTTATGAGACCCCGATAAGAATACTTTGAATTTTCGCAGGAATGGTTCGACATTAGACACAGTAGTCACGAGTCCTTGCCTGGCTTTTGCCCGGATATCTTGATCTTTCCTGTGACAAGGATATGAGGCAAGTTACAGAACATGGCCATGGCATTTCCATCGATGTGATCTGCAACATCGCTGTGTGTGTGTTCTTGGAGAAATTGTCCTCCATCCTGAAGCTCTAGCACGCTCAATGCTGCTGGCCGTTGTGCAAATTTTTTGTGGCAAAAACAGGACTTTGGCTTGTGTCGATTGGTGGACGCTCGATTTACACCACAACCCGCTTTCCCACTTTCAGCAAAGCATGCTTGGCCACAACTTGCAGACACATACACAATTAAAAGGCATATCATATCATATGTATCTCTCACTGCCCGCCTGCCTTTCTCACCACACCAAGCCCCCACACTTGTTCCTCTATGAAATTCTGTTCAGTTCTCTTATAAAATGCTGAAACCGACCCTGATGTCATAAAGATCATTTTGGCGGCTAGAAGCAAAAAACACTGCTTCCAGAAAAGGTTGATTTGAATGATTTTTCATTTTATATCATTTTATACAGTAAATCTTAACGTGTGTTAAACCACAAAAATCTTATGAGATTGATTCAAGCATTTTATAGCTTTCAAATTTGCTTCAAGTCATTTGATAAGGAAACCATGTCTCTTGTCAATCTGGCCAATGTACCAGTTTGCTGCGATGTTGTGGCATTTTACAGAAAGGTGTGTTTTCTAATTGTATAGTAGATGTCTTGGCAGGTTTCACTTTATAAAACAATTTTACTGTAAAATGCAAAATGGCAGACCACTGGGAGTAGTAAGGGGGATGAACATATATAATATATATACACATATTTGCATTTTTTTGACCCATGTGTATTGCATTCCAAAACCTGCCAGGTGCAGAAGCTCTTAGGTCATCCTGCAGTTGTCCTGGCTTGGGATGTCGTAGCTCACTAAGATGTTTTGAAAAAGATTTGCAATCTGTGCGAAGGACGCTGTACTACGCTGTTGAAACATAGCATGTGCTTTAGTCGCAGCGGAGTTAAGCCGCTGGTCGGAGATCGCTTGGAAACTTTCAGGTGAATCAGCGCTGTACCGAGGTCGGGGACATGATTAGGTTCTAGAGTGAGTCAACAGTTCTGCCTACTGCCTACCAGAATCCAGTGCGTTTGATAGATTGAATATGTTGTTCTGGCGCCATGCAGTTCAAACGGTAGGCATTACTTCAACTTAACCTGTTGTTCCGGATTCAGATTGAGTGCTTTCATTGGCAGCATTGGAGAGAAGTACTGGCAATATTTTGTTTAGACAGTCGCACACATGTATACAGTATATATATACTGTATATGTACATACATAGATATACAAAACATCATGCACTTGCAGACCCAGAGGCAATTGAATTGGTGGGAGCGCGATGCCTAGTGGTCGCTGCTCCTCAGGCGGTCTTTATTTTTTTTGGCACCTTTAAGAAAGGCTGACAATTTTGGACAATGGCAGGTAGACATGAAGACGTGAGCAAGTGCCTCTAATTGAACTCCAATGAACTGCCAGGAAAGCTCGTCGAACGGTTGACAACCCTTTGTTTGATCCACATCGTATATTGAGACCTTCGCCCGTCTAGCAGTATTCCACTGTGTTCATTTAAGAACCTTGAGTTCAAAATGCAAAGCGTCGTCCTTCTTATTGTGTGGCTTGATCATGTAATGTACAGTACTGGATTCGATTGTCCTTTTTTTCCGAATGTGTAGCGAAGGGTTCCGGTTTATAGTTTATAGTTGGGGGTTTGGGGGCTGGACTTGTGTTCGTGTCGTGTGGGTCATCGGGTCGTCGCCGGGTTTCCTGACAGCGGGGGAAGCTTTTCGACGAGTTTTCAATGGATGGAGAATCGAGAAGGTTGAAATTCGTGTGAAATACCGTGCAAACGTGACTTCTGAAGTGTGAAGCGTGAATTCCTGCGCAGGTGCAGCGTTTTGTGAGCCCATCAGTTTCCTTCGCTGTGACAGTGGGATTGGCGTTTGCAGGGTGGTCTATTGGAGGTGTTGGATGTCGCTGTGACAGTGATTTGCTGTTGAGGCTGTTGCGTCGAAGCCGTGTTTTCGCGAGAAGTCTCAGATAAAACTGCGATTTTGGTGAATGTGAGTGTGCTGATTGTCGAAATCACTCCAGATGTGTGGTGTGGCGCAAATCTTGCTGAAGATATGAAGATATCACCATGTCGTCACTTTTCATTGCAGGCGCAGTACTTTGTGCGTGTTGGAGGTGTCGAAGTTGAGCTTTCGTGGCAGGTGCAGGGAATCGTGAGACTGCGACGTTTGGTGGAGGTGAATGTCGCTGTGACGGTGTGATAGATTTGCAATTGTGTTCTTGAAAGTTGGTTCGCTGAAGGTGTTATCTGTTCCGGAAACGTTAAGTTGTCATTTTCATCCTCCAGGTGTGTGTGTGTGCGTGTGTTAACACCTGTCTCTAAGGTTTGTACCTGGTAAGTCTGCCGTAGGTTCCTACTAGTAGCTTCTGGCCTTACTACTAGGACCCAAACTAAAACAAACACAGCGCGAGTCAAAAAAGAGGCAGGGGGCAGCAGGGAGTCCACAGTTTGCTGCCAACGAAGACAGCTGTGGATACTCCGTGAAGCAGATTGGGACGCCAATCTGTGTACCTGCAATTTAATTCTTTCCGTTTCACCCAATGTTAAACCATACAGTTGCAGCTGACCCATTCACCTTTCCGTTTTGCAAGTCAAGGTCTACAACGCAGCGGGTAATGTAATCATCTAGAGTGGGACTTCATACTGATCCTAGCTCTTGCGAGCAACCATCTAAGTGTGTTTCGCCAGAGAGTCCCACTGAGGTCTGTGGTGTGATCCCCATCGAGGGGCGCCGCATGGGGGGATCAATTCAGATTCTTTCGTCTCTGCTTTGGGGCTTCACTCTGAAATTCCCTTGATTGACTGTTCTGCACGATACCACTGATACTATGCCGCAGGGCTCACTGAGACTTACGCTCCAGTCAGGATTTGCACTTTCAGACATGTGTCTAAGTATTTACCTGTACAGTCTGCACGTCTAGGTAATCACAGGCGGGGCTTCGGACTCAGACATGTCAGCGCTTGTGCTTTTCATGCTCTTGGGTTCTTTCTCTCTTTCTGTTGCTTTTCGTTTCTTGAGGCCTTTCCTTAGGTTTCAGGTACCTTTCAGACAAGGGTGCGCCCGCCAAAATCGGCTTGACTTGAATGCCAATGAAGGCAAGGCCTTCAGGCCACCCTATCCCACCCTCCCCCCTACCTCCCTGCCCCCGGCCTCCGTTGCTATCCCACCCGCTATTTAGGGTAACAGAAGGAAGTCGCACTCAACACACTTGTGTGTTGGCGCCTTTCCTTCTGTTTCTCCTGTCCTACTTCTAGCTACCCGGGCAGTTTAAGACAAAAGCCCCGCTCGCTAACTACTTTCGTTTAACTAAGTGGGCCTCGTCACTACACCTATCTTTCTTTCTTGCCCTTTTCGTTTGCTCTTGTTTTGTTTCTTTTTCTGTCTTTCTAAGGCTTTTTAGGTGGCTAGCAAACCTCCGGCGCGAATATTGCCGCTATGTGTGCAAAGTTGTTGCGCAAAATCCGTTCCATGTAAGGGATACAGAGCGCCAATAGCGGCACAGTGTGTGTGTGTGTGTGTTAACACCTGTCTCTAAGGTTTGTACCTGGAAAGTCTGCCATATAGGTTCCACTAGAAGGCTGGGCGCTACTAGTAGCTTCTGGCCTTACTTCTAGGACCCAAACTGAAGGAGGCAGGGGGCAGCAGGGAGTCCACAGTTCTGCTGCCAACGAAGACAGCTGTGGATACTCCGTGAAGCAGATTGGGACGCCAATCTGTGTACCTACAATTTAACTCTTTCCGTTTCACCCAATGTTAAACCATACAGTTGCGGCTGACCCATTCACCTTTCCGTTTTGCAAGTCAAGGTCTACAATGCAGCGGGTAATGTAATCATCTAGAGTGGGACTTCATACTGATCCTAGCTCTTGCGAGCAACCATCTAAGTGTGTGCGCGCGCGCCAAAATGGGGGTGGCTTTGCGTTTGCGAGCTGGAGCCAGATAGGTGAAAAGTGCTTTGTTGCAGCATTGTGGCAGCTCCAAAGTAGAACAGAGGAAACGTCACGGGATAGTAGGCGCACATCAGGCTTGATCAGTGTAGGCACTGAAAACAATATACGCAATTGAGTTTGGAACCCCAAAGCAGCATAATTGACAAACAAAAAAGGCTATTTGGAAACACGCCTTTTTTTGATATGTTTCAAAAAAACCGCTCGCAGAAAAGGTTATATCTTTAGAATCTACCTTGAAATACAGGGCAAGAAAATAATCAAAAAAGTAATAAAACCCAGGCTTAAGGGCACTCTGACGAGACTTCCTGCTTCGCATATGAGCGAAGTCTTGTACGAAACGCTCATTTTGGGAGACTGGCAGACTTTGACGCGTGACTCTTGCAGGAAGTCTCGTACGAAACGCTCGTTTTGGAGACTTGACACGTGAGGAGACTTGACGCGTGACTTTTGGAGGAAGTCTCGTACGAAACGCTCTTTTTGGAGACAGAGACTTGGCACGTGACTGAGTGTGCCACAAGCGTGTCCCGCAAGTCCCACACAGAAGTGAGTGCCTCCAGGGTGTCGAAGTACTGAGGGTCCGGAGTGGCGCTATAGGTACCCAGTCGCCAAAGGTCTAGAGTCCAAGTGTCACTCAACAAGAGTGCGGCACGTTGGTCTGGGATTATTTTCGACACGGGGAACTAAGCTATAAGAAAGGGCTGGGGCGTTCACGATGGAGTTGAGTAAGGTCGCACCATTCTGCTTTTGTGGGTTGAATTCTTGAATGCGCAAGATAGAAGAGGGCCAGACCCCTGGTCACCATGTCGTTTGCTCCTTAGTTTTCCAAATTTTTGTGTACGTTTGCTGTGGTGGACTAGGAGTCGGGTCTGAGACAATTTCTTTGGTATTTCAAACGTGTAGAGATGTCTGATGTGTGGGAATACATCTTAGATTCCACCCCAGCGTACTGGGTACTACATGTCAGCCCCCACCTCAGCAACCAACCAACAAGAATGCACAACCAAAAAATAAAATATTAACACAAAGGCCTGGGATGTGTGAACGGGTTTGAAACCCTTTCCTTATTGGTTGTAAATTGTTTTTTTGTGTTTTATTCTTGAAAGAGAGAGAGAGAACAAAACATTAGACGGCTGAAAAGAAACACAAAATTGAAACGATTTGTGTTTTCGAGTTTGTGCATCCAATTTGGATGACTTTTAATTGGTTTCATGTTGCAACGTATCTGGGTAGGAACACTATTTTAGACCACTTCTTTCTGGTGCCGAGTCTGGGGTGTGGGATTTCAATTTAAGTGTACGCAGCTGAAGGATATCATTCTAGACCCCAGTTATCATGGTCTACATCGCGGTACCGAGGGTCCCTCAGCAGTTGTTGGGGGGATGCAAAAGTTTGTGTCCCACAAGAGTGTTGCGCGAGAGCGTCCCACAAAGATTTTCCACAAGAATTCCCTACAACAGTTTCCCCTACAAGAGTGTCCTACAACAGTCTCCCACAAGAGTGTCCCACAAGACTGTGCCACAGTTCCACAAGAGCATCTCCTACAAGAGTGTCGTGCAAGAGTGTCAAACAATGGTTGGCCGTTTGCTTTCGAGTGATTGTGTGCGTTCGGGGTCGTGAGCCCCATCTCGTCTCTGTTGGAGCAGGTTTTACTTTGCACCATGACACATCTCCTGTTACCTAACACCATGAGTGCCACGACCCTCGTTTTTGTGTGCGCGTTGGTGTTGAAGGCGGCTCCAATCGGGCTGAAAGACCTTAAGGTCTCAGTGCCCATGTCTTGTGTGGATGTGGACACAGATGGCTTGGTGGACAGACGCTTGCTCTATGCCTTATGTATTTTTTAAAAAAATTACGTAGAACATATTGTAATTAATCAAAAGAGCATGTGACCTGCAAGGCTCAATCGTAGGAGTCACAGTCCTTTCATGCAACACCATTGCTTGATCCAAGTTTCCCAATTGTTCATGGCGTTCAGACAAATGTAGAGAAATGTGAATAGGAGTGAGTAAATGACAACTCCTCGAAGTTTTGACATCCCTCGCAAGCCTCGCTTGAGGACACCAAGTAGCCAGCATTGTTCAGCACATTAAGGCGAGCGTTGACCAGAGAGTTCTCGTCTAGGTATTATCATGTCATTATTTGTAGTACTCGTACTGGCATCACAGTACATTTGCCAAAATCATAGCGACATTTGATCTCACAGACTTAAAAACCGCAACCTAAGATCATGGATGAAGAGGGTTCATTGAAAGGTGCAGGACCACTTCAACTCAACTGAACACTTCAGGCACCTCAAAACAGACTGGCTCGGGAAATGATTTGCTTAGTTTAAGTTAATGGAGGCCTGAGTTGAGGGCTACTCAGAGCGATCCAAACTCAGCCATCTCCAATCGAGATGTTAGATCAGCTTGAACCATCAACAACTGGCTTTGCTGGGTTTGCAAAAACATGGCGTGCCTTCCTTTGGCCTAAAAGCATACTAAAAGTTGATGAAGCTGAGCGGTGATAACACAGTCATTTGTTGCCTTCTATCATTTTAAACATTTAGTGGGCTTTTCTTTGGAGGTTGTTGTGACTTGATCAAAGCCTGATTCGCTAAAGTTCCTTAGGGGTGAACCGATGGGACCATTATTGGGGTGGAGGGCTCATTCCACAGCCAGTGAGGAATCGCAGCAGTCTGATCATTTGTTGCGTGTAGACGCGTGCTGGACACTTCCACAAGAATCTGGAAGTAACTTAAAGTGACGTCTTGATACCATTTTCGGCTCCGATATTCACTGGATTGCTGAGACCCCCTCTTCTCCCATCCCTGCACAATACTATAACATTATAATATATTCTCATTGGCCCACATTACATAGTACACCTCACAATGGGTGAATAGAGGTAATAAAGGTACAGTACCACTCGTTGCTGTCGCAGTGCTCCTTACAAGTTGGGAGGCTCTTGAGGTGGCTTCGCCTCCTATTTTGCTGGTTCTACTATGCCGCTTGGTGCCCAGGGTGATATGTAGCGACACCAAACAGGTGAATGTCAGCTAACAACAAGAGTGGTTCAGATCAGAACTTTGTTGTTTTTCAATCTTGCTTGTTACTTGACTATATGTGTTTTTTTGTGCCTTAGATTGTCTTCCATTCACATCTCGACTTCGCCTCAAGACCTGTCCTAGGTGCATACCTGAGCCGAAGACTCGTCCTGAGTTTTCGAGATCTTCCAGAGGCAAGTGGCAGAATTCATGAGGGTTTGCAAAGATGGATTTAGGATCTTTGATATTTTCTCGTTAATAATTTTAATCTACTAGTTGAATCTATATATCTCAATGCGTGTTTCTTCGTGTTGATTGCATGATGTCTTTGCTGCAGCCTCGCTTTTGGTGAATTGTTTTTGCCGTCATGATTCCAAATGAACACGTGCAGAGTTGCTAGAGACTAGTCATGTTTTCAGAGCACTTGGACGGCAAAAGTCACCAACCACCTACCTACATGGAGCTGGAATAGCCAAACAGCTACTGCTCAGCTTCCCATGACATTTCGTGTCGTGGCGGTGGTTGACCTACAGCCTTGGAAGGACATCATCCTGTTGCCGTGTCTTGGATGCCCCACGAATTGGACAATGGCATGAATCAAAGGAGGGAATCCGTCCAAGTTGTTTTTTGCAGCATCTTGGCCGGTCTGAAATTATTGAGTATGTATGTATATGATTGTATATGCATGCACACTATTCCTTATACCGACAATGTTGTCTTTGTTTCTTTACTTGCAGCCTGACAGGGCCTGACAGCCACACAACGTACTTCAAATTCAACTCGCAACACTGCCAGCCACCAGTCGTCCCGAGGTGTCCTCCTGACGCGAAGAGTGCTGTTGCCGAAGAGGTGCGCCCCAAAGCATGTGCATAGTGCTGAATGAACATATAGCTATATGGGAGTTATCCAACAGGTCCTTGTAAGGGTTTTTAATGTCGAGAGCCTTGGATGACATGATCGTGGGTCTCGCGAAAGTTTTTTTTCGAGTTCGCGAATGTTAATGTTTTTTTCGCGAAAGATTCGCGAAAGTATGAATTTTTATTGTATGTTCTTTGGTGAGCCTTCAGGCTTGCCCCATGCATAACCACATCCTTTTCTGACCGTCAGCAGCTTCAACTTTGGAATCCGTGTGAAGCTTCCTTCCTGTTTCATGTAGTCCACCCTATGTTATGTATGCCGTAAAAACCTCCAAAGCACAGGGATTATTTCGCGAAAGTTTCGCGAAAGTCTGGCGAAGGTTTCGGCGAATGAATCGGCTCCAGAGGAACCCCGTAGCCCATAGCAACCCCACAAACTGTATTTAGAAATCGAGTCCCTACCAGGTTAAATGGTTTCATGACATGGTGAACCCCCGCGAAAGAAAAACACAGGGTTCGCGAAAGTTTCGCGAATGTTAATGTTTTTTTCGCGAAGAATGGCCGTTTCAATAAACAAGAATATTGGACAACCACCATATATATATATAGATAGGACACCTCTGACCCAGGAGCTCGCATCATGTGTCTGATCACGGTAAAGCACTTATGCTTGACCAAATAACATGGTTTAGTCATTAATCCAGGCTTGCATTGATGTTGATTCTCAACCGGCCTAGAACAACCACCCGAAAAGGATTGGTGCACTTGCAGTGTTGAGGTTCCAACCTACGCTGCACAATGCTTTGAAGAGGCAAGGATGGACGACTCTTGCAGGACCATGAACTTCTTGGCTGGACTAGAATTCATATCAAAGGCTTCAAGGAATGCGTCAGGAATGCACTGTACTGGTGGAAGACTTGAAGAGTAAATAATGCGGGTACGCATCCATTTGATTCCTGTTGCGTATAGAGCATTTGCAACTGAGCACGTGCATTGTCCACAGAATCTATATATACTACAACAAACCTTGCCGCCCTAACACTATTTTCATCGCAGTGGTTCACACACGCAAGTCCTGAATCGTTTTCAGGCGAGGCGGTTGCGAGATGAGGTCAGGGCTTGGTTGCCAAGACTGAAGATGTTTGTATACAGCGGGTACCGGCTATCGCACAGGTGTGAGCGTTTTCGGCATGATTTGCTGTGAGTTGCTTTGCTATTCAAGCAGATCGTGCACAGAAGATTTGTGACATTGAAACGAAGAGCGAATGATGTGCTCATGGCCGAGTGCCAGGAAGACCGAGAATCGATTCCAAAAGAACGAATCTTTATGACATGATTTCTTGGCTTGACTATAGACTTTGCTGAACGTGAAGAATTAGTGTTCATGCGAATGTTTGGAGCAACGACTTTGTTTTGCAGGGGAAACAAGTTTGTCATGACTTCCTGTTGGCAGGGTGTGCATCTTCCCCAGAGCTGTCTCAGAGCATTGGAAAGGCTCACGGAATCTGAGCAAAGCAACCAGTTCAAGATTGTCAAAGGAATGTGTGTTTGCTTTTTTCAGATATCAATATGTTATAGAATAAGTAAGATTAGATGAGATTGTGGATTTGGCTTTGCTGTTTGGTGGTGCAGTTTTGGCATGTGCAGGTTGAACTGTGCCCAGACTGTCTCGGCCTTGATTTCACGCCTCGGACTATGAAAGTGTGGTATGATGCAGGCAGCGAAGCATACACAGGCACAAGTATTATCGAGTTGTCCCGACAGGCAAATAGCTGCATGATGTCGGCATCCTTTTGCTGCACTTGCTGCTATTTCTTGGATCACTCCTGAGTAACAACAGTAGTGTTTCTCGTCCATGTTGAGCTCACCACAGGTACTTCGTACTAAATGCTACCCAGAAATTCCAGTACCGTACCTTGCCTGTCAGTGTTGCGCGGGATGACAAGCCTTCCTAAAGCTTTGTTGCACCCAGTGTTGCGATCCCTGACTGGTTGCTACACCCTGGTAGTGTTCATTCCATGGAATCTGTTATGCGTTGCAGTCACTTCTAGGTGACGACACCTCTAGAGTCAAGAGTTGTACCCGAGTAGCAGTTTGACTCCTGGTTGAGCCCTCACCTTCACCAAGGTGGATCATACACAGGTCACAAATGGAATTGGACAAAAAGTGAACTGCGACCCGTTCGTTGCTGGGATCGTGGCAGTTTTGAAGCTGGGAGCGACGCGCTGGCAGATGTGGGTGGTTTGCCGTCTACTGAGTTTTGGAATTCGTGGCTGGTAGCTACTAGTAACAAGTGCCACGCTAGTAGTAACAGGTGCCTTACTAGTAGTAACAAGAAGCTATTAGAAACAATAGGCTAATAGCTTCTTTTTGCAGGCCTTAACTCCAAGGGGGTTCGCTGCAGGTAGTTCTGACTCGGATTGACCGAGTGGAGGACCTCCACAGATTCTCGGAGTGTTGCTGTTTGGTTATGTTGCATTGCTGTGCATGTGGATTTCTCTCAGTCTTTGAACATTTCAGACACCTTTTAATTTGTTCGGCAGAGTAGTCTGAGCATTTCAACCAGGTGCATCGAAGATGATAAACATTTTGCGCCGGAAGGAGGGCATCGCGAAAAGCAGTGGCAAAGCCTCCATGGCAGATCGCGAACTGATGCTTCGTCAGGCGCGATTGCTTATAATAATTACAATATGATGTTAATCCTACTTGAGCTTTGGGCTCTTGGCTACAACTCAGCTGTGGCCAGGTTTTAGATAGGAAGATTGAGGACGTTTGCGTACGGTTGGATGTGCCCCGAACAGCAGTGCCTGCCTTAGTGGGTTTCACTTTGTGGTAGGCTTTGCCCTTCAGTCCTTCGGTCAGATTCACCCCTGCTTGAGTTCTACCATCACTGTGGAGCTCCAGGTCTCAAAAAACAACATAATTATTGTGTGATTTGATGTGTCCTTCCCACCCAAACGCTTGGTTTCTTCCTGCACGGCGCCCCTGCAGTCTGATGATGCTCACACAGCCGGTTTGACGATGCTGAGCCACTCTCTACGTGCCCAGATAAGGTGCATTTTATCGAGAATTACCACAGCGGTGTGCTGAACCTTGAGCAGGAGGCAACGTGTACTGTACTATCACGCGAGACGTCCATTCTTAACACTTTCAGAGTTGGGAGACAATGGGTCTGAAAGGCCCGCGGTGCTGCTTAAAGACTTAAAGAGCCAACGTATGCATGGCATTACAAGGAGCTGCAACCATTCCGGAGGAGATAAAATTTCACTATTTCATTTAGTTGCTTGGAAATCGCTTGGAATAGATGGATATAGACATACATGGAACATCCTTCAATGCCATTAGATGATCAACTTTATATTGTATCCACTCCAGCATGAGAATAACCAGCTGTTCTCAGTCTGCTTTGTGTGGCTCGAGCTGGGCCACACATTCCCCAGCACCAAGGCAACTAGATACACCTTTCTCGGCTCAGTTCAACACTTTTTGTTTTTGCTCCTCATGCTCTGCTAGGTACGGAACATTTCTGTGGATTTCCACGCGTTGAAGATTCTCAGCCAGTGGCTGACCAAGTTTTTGCTACCACAACCTGCTGCTTGATGATTGCACACCCTTCAGATCAAGCACCCAGAATGAAAGTATGTGTTGGCCGTGTTTGAAGACATATATATATATATATGTGTGTGTGTGTTCTAACCAACTTACCCCAGGTGCTGCAGCCATGCTGATGCCTTCATTGCTCAAGCGCTACAAGACCTGAGGCACATCAAGAATCTCTTACAATACTCTTGGGTGCAGCAAGCTGTTGTATTGACACAATATGACAGTTGAACATGTATAAATAGTTATCAATAAGGGTGTAATTTCATGTAATCACGAAAGCCAGCCAATAGGCAAAGCTTGAGGCAGGGGAGCGAACGAAGTGAGTTAAGGGGAATCTGGGAGGGGGGTGGTCGCGAGTGGGCCAATTTCGGAGAGGTGAACCCAGAGCCTGGTGGCGAAAAAAAGAAAAAAGGTTGCCACTTGTGATGTAATTGACGGCCAGTAGTGCATCATTAGCATCACGAGGGGCTCAGGAGGCTATGGAAAGAGATGCTGAAAAGGGCACCCCATATGGGGTGCATGTGCCATGTGTGGGTTGTTGAGGGCAGGAGAGAGAAGAGATTGCAGCGGGCAAGCGTTGGAGGCGGAAGGTCCCGGAAGGTTTTGAAATGTTTTGAATTGCTTGGGGGTGCCCTTTTTTCTTCGTGGCAAGGTCTAGTTATTGGACTCAAAAGGGCACCCCATATGGGGTGCATGATGCCGTCTGTTGAGGGCCTGCGAGAGAACCGGAGTGAAGAGGGCACCCCCTATGCGGTGGGAGTTCACGTGGCCTGGAGGTCATGAGGGGCTCAGGAGGTGATGGAAAGAGAACCAAGCTCAGCGTTGCTGCCGGACTGAAGAGGGCACTCCCTATGCGGTGGGAGTTCCCGTGGATTGGGGGGTTGTTGAGGGCAGGAGAGAGATTGCAGCGGGCAAGCGTTGGAGGCGGAAGGCTTTGAAGCTAGGGACGGCTTGCAACAGAAACATTTCAAAAAGAAGGACGTACAGGTTACAGGCATATATGTATCCTCACGAAGCCTGCCAATAGCCTCGCCCATAGGCCCCCACAACCATCGCTCACTGCTCACTGACTAGCAACACGCAGCAAAACAACTCATATGAACAAACTTTTTAACAACAACCCTTTTCGCCGTTGAGGACGAAAAAGGGCACACCCCTTTTAATACTACCTTCTCTTTCTACCTCCTACCGGATACCTAGAGTACCCTTTACGCAATGTTAGCCTGTCACTTCATCTTACACACTCAAGTCCCTCCAATACCAACCTCACCACTTCCGGCTACTCTTGGTCCACTCTACCTATATACATATATGATATGTCTCTTCACCAACCCTACCCATGGCCTCCAGTCACTTCCTCTTGCGTGCCAAGACTTTGCCCAGGCTTCCCCTGAGGACACACCCTAACCCAGAGGCTGGTTTTCGCCCCTTCCCTTCTCAGGTTTCGATATATATATATATACATATTATTATATCAGATATAAAACACAGAACTGTATGGATCACAGATGTCAACATGACATCCTTTTCACATGAACCACAGACCTTGAAAGGCTTCAGAGAAAACAAAGGTCATCAGTGCGGGGCATCCGACCTGTGCAAGCCGGTGGCGCCCCCACAGCTGTAAACCCAGCATTGACTACCGGCCCACGCCGCACGGGACTGGGCTGGAGGCAATACGCAGGCCCCGCGTTGGAGAAGAGCTAACCCAGCATCCGTGATGAGTTCATCACAGGCGATGCCAGCTCTGATGAGGGTGTTGTCACTGAGCAATTTCAAGCAAATGCTGAAGCAGACATTTCGTCTCCAAAGTCAGCAAGACGAGGTGCCACTGGTCTGAACATTGCAGGCATGCTCCCACAAAGGAGGGAAACACTTCAGATCGTAGGACATGCAGTCAGCTTCGCAGGAGGCGCAGTTGAGTGTTGAGGAAGCTGGAGCAAAATTGAGGGAGACTACAGGGACAGAGTTGACACCTTTTGCAACTGTTGCTCGATTGGAGTGGCAGGAAGGGAGGAGAAGAGGAGAGAAAAGCAGAAGGCAATCCAGGAGGAGTGCGAGGACAATCGATTTGCAATTAGCACCTACGCCAACAGGAGCAGAAGCGGCAGAGTCCCGAACGCAGATGGCACAGACAGGCAGCCAGTGAAGGACTTTGAGACCTCCTGCGCAGTGAGGAACGAACAACCAAATATGCGTTGGCGGTGCACAGCTGTAGAGATTCCGGATGATTCCAGCAAGCTGACACTGACACGCAGCAGCAAAACACTGAATGGACCATGTGCAAGGAATGCGACCACAAACGGCGTAAGAGGGCTTGAGCCTGGAACCAAGCCAGAGTGGCTGAGTGGGTCTATCAGCCCTGCCCAACCAACAGGCCCAAGGGGGGCACGGCACCTCACATGTGTGGATCGCAGATGTCAACATGACACACTTTTCGGCGCATTCAACACGAAACCGCAGCCCCTGAAAACTTTCAGAGAAAACAGGGTTCGGCCGTGCAGGGCAGTCCGCTCAATACTACGACGTGGCCATCATACGGTCAATGCTTCAATACTTTTATATAATTTGTTTTTTCTGGTCCTGATTCAAACACTTTGCGTGTACGACAGGCAACCAGCTTGCATACTTCAGTGATCTTGCGGCGCCTTGGGTCTCCGCAAGTATAGCCTGTCCAGCGAAGCCGCTGCTCAGCAACCTTATGGATGAAAACCTTTCGTGTGCCCTGATTTGCCATATGCCACAACTCCAAAAACAATGTATTCTCATTTTGTAGCCGAATTGCATCATACAGAGCCTTTGTGTGCAAGCAGTGCGTTCCAGCGTAGCAGGGCCTCACCTGGGTTCTTGTTTCGCAGTGCGTGCAGAGTTTGATGCTTCAGCTGCAGACATTGTGGCCAAAAATCATGTGTTCTTGCGGTCATGTCATTGCTCATCAAGACAATGCTGAAACTGGTAATGATGGTTACTTCGGACGAGCGTTTCTCGTCCTAGTCCTAGTTGCAAAAAAGGGTTGTCGCAAGACTTGAGTTATCCTGGCAGCTTTGGAGCAAAGCGAACAAAGATCGCAAGACATGCACTTCCAACTTTGTCCAAAAAATTGGAGAATGTTTCAGCCCGAATTGAAAACAGCGAGAAACCTCACGCTGCACAAACAAAAACAATGAATACCCACAGCGGATTGCAAGCATACGCTGAAACATTTTTTTTGTGGGTGCCCCACAGACTATACCAGCTGCTGTGTTCATGACCTGACATATGTGAATCTATCAATATACCATATGCAAATATGTTATTGTTGTTCAAGACACAAAGTACAAGAAAATCATTGCACTTGGTGCAAAGTCAGTTTTGTGTGTTTCCTGTGTCCAAACATGGCCAGCTGATGTCGGCTGAAGAAAATCAGGACATCGCCGGATTTGTAGAAAGTAGTGTAATTGTGTTGAATACCGGGTTGTTCATAAAGAAAACAGCATTGCCTAATGGTGTTTCATCAGTGTTTGTAGAGCACCCTTGATCTTTTTTCAGGATGGAGATGATGCTCCTGAAGCAGACAGAGCAGAAGAAAACGGCCAGGATAAACTCAGTTGGTTATATATGTTCATCCATTGGCACTGTGTCTCCAAAAAGGCAACGCAAAAATAGCAAGACACAATTTATTCTGCGGTATCTCGTGGTAAGGGAATGTAGTCGAACGTGTGTGCGCCTGCAGATTCCTGACTTGGATAGAATTTGTCAGTTGCTGGAAATGTTAACTCTTAGGTCACCTGCACAAGTGGGCTGCGTAGGATTGACTCTGCAGGACATGACAAGCTAATAAAACAACCCAGGCTGTGAAAGATTCTCGCGGCTAATTTCCTTTCAATATTTGTTGCTTACTCGTAGCTCTTGCAACAGAGAAGACACGCCTTTGCTGCGGCTATTTAGCATCCCCTTGCCTCAGCGCAGGTGATGAGAAGAAGCGTGTCAAGAGGAAAATGGCCATTGTCGTTGGCTTCATTGGAACGAGGCAATCGATTTTCTGCAGCATGTGTTCCAGTGAACTCACATGAATTTTCGCTGGAAACAAATAGATTGGAATAGCTCCATGTGCTGAGACATGTGGCGCTGCCCGTTATCCCTGCAAGCTCTTTGAATTTCATGCTGGTCAAGGTACCGTGGCCTTATGATCAATCCAGAAGTTGAAGACACCGCAGCAAAGAAATCTGTGGAGGAGTCACTTTGTGGCCAACAATAATGTTTCCTGGGGCAGTTTACCGACACTGCATCCTATACGTAGGAGATGATACGGACGGCATTGGTCAAGGCGAAGATAGTGAGTGAGTTGAATTCCCAGCGGTTGGAGCAGAAGGCAGGGCTTGCCTGTTTCTATATATATACAGTATTATTTGTTTTCCGTGCATTTCCATGCTGTGCTCAGCTTTAGTTATAGTGACCGTGCAGTTCAAAAGTCACAAACTGTTTTGCTTTCTGCAGCAGCATGTTGATTTGCAATTACAAATCAGCATGATGCTGCAGCCACGAAATGCAAATTGCACTTCACGTTTGTTTGCACAACAGCTACAACCAAAGAAACAGTACTCCTTTTGCAAAACCTTGAACAAAATAGCGCGAAACCTCTTGTGACAGTAGCATTTTGCACAACAGCTCAGGGGTGAAACAAACAAGTCATGATCAAACGAGTTGAGCAGCGGGAACCTCGCGAACGTGTCATGACAAGTCACAACTGGCAAGGTGCAGTGTAGCAAGTTGTTTCACAATGTAGTTGTGAGCCAAATTGTTTGTTTGCAATGACAAGGACATGTCGATGACATTGAACAATGTTATGGAGCAAATGCAACTGTATTGGAGTTTCTCGCTTGTTGCTGTTTTTGACACTTTCTTGCTTTTGGCAAACAATCTTCTGTGAGTGTTTTGTGTGCTATTGAGATGGTCATTCCGATCCAGGTAAATTGGAGCCGCTCCAGCCGAACTGATGCAGGCGCAACTTGGCCAAGTAAAGATTGGAACATGTTGATTCAAATTGTAAACAAGCCAACTGCCCTCCCATACAATTGACACTTTGACATGCTCAGAACATGCTCATGTGTTTTTTTCTGTTGTTCCTGCAACTGTTTTCTCAATCTTATAAAGATTGTTCATTCCACCTTCCCGTACAGTGTCCAGCATCCGTACGCCTCACAAATCTTTTGGATACAGATGGTGCCCCAGTGTCAGTTGCTGCAAAGAGAGATGCATCTTGGTTTTTGAGTGTAACTACCTCTTGAATGCTGCCCCCTTCAGCCATGTTTGTTCCATTCATGTTTTTCCAGAGTCTTGGCTTGGAAGATCTGTCAATTTTCCCAATTCCAAAATGCCGTACTGGTACCTGTATATTCACACCGCTTCGCTGTCGAAGCCGCCCGCGCAGATCAACGGGAAAATACAGAGATGTCATCTACAAGACAGACATACATGCAGACATTAAGAACCTGTGCTCGTGGAGGCGGGAAGAAACGTGCACATCATTCTGTATCGAACTTTTGCGCGTGATGGAGAAGATCGATGAGCGGAAGAAATCGAGCATAATCGAGCGTCCAGCGTCGCCGACGCATATCCGGTGTGAGTCCTTGACGTTCCTGAGCGCCCAGCGTCGCCGACGCATATCTGGTGTAAGTCCTTGACGCGCCTGTGCGCGGGGGAACTTGTAGGGGTCTTGGAAGGCTGTTTCTGTATAAAGGTTCCCAATTATGAGATGCGTTCGCTGTAAGACGTGCGCGCGCCGAGGCACGATGTCAATAATGCAGTTGTCCGCCAAGTGCAACAGGATGGCGGTGCTGAGTGCCCCAGTGACCGGCTCTCATACCAAGTACGCCTGCGAGAACTTGACCCCAATCAATGATGCAGGGCTGAGCTTTTGATAACTCAGAACCAAAGTCGCCGGTAGACGTCCGCGATGTCGCTAGTGCGATCTCCCCCGGCCAGCGTAACCGGCATCGCCAACGTTTGGTATCATATTCAAGAAACATTGCAAAGCACAGCATGTCTAGAAGAAAAAGCCTCCCCCCAAGCTAAAGCTTAAGATTGAATCTAGCCTACACAACATTGCAATTGCCCAGAGCCTACACAACGCCCTCGGCACCTTCGGCGCGGGCGGATTTGATTTGGATGGCATCTGGAAAATGTATACAATTGAAAGCACGGTTGGCTGCGCCCGGGTTTTCTAGATTATGATTTTAATGTCCACCTCCTAATAATAAACTCCCCCCCTCCCCCCTTGATCAAGTGTGGCCTCCAAATAATATGAAATCCAGAAACTCCTAGAACATTTTGATTTGAATTGGAAATGAAAGGAAAGGAAAGAGATTGAAGGAAAGGAAAAGAAATGAAAGGAAAATGGAAGGAAAGGAAAGGAAATTGATAGGACAATGAAAGGAAAGGAAAGGAAATTGAAAGGGCAATGAAAGGAGAGGGAAGAAATGAAAGGAACATGGAAGGAAAGGAAAGGAAATTGAAAGGACAATGAAAGGAAAGGAAAGGAAATCATGAAAATAACCAGCCAGGGATTGTTTAGTATTATTTGAGGCCTGGAGTAATTGAAGGTTTGGGCTGCTCGTGGGGGGTGGTCTTTGTGGGTTGATTTCAGGTTACAAATGGCAATGCCCAAAGAAGCAATTTTAAAAGGAAAATGCAGCAGCCAAATCAAAGTTCCAGAGTGAAGGAAACCACAAAATAATCAGGTTTTGGAATCAGCTGACAGCTCAGAATCAGCTTGGATGAATCAAGGTCTGGAAGCAGCTGAAAATCAAGGTCCAGAAAACATTTAGTATTGTTTGAGGTCCATTTATTATTGGATTTTGAAAAGATTTTAGTATTATTCACGGGCCATTTAGTATTCGGAAGTCAACATTATCCGGCCTTGATGCTGCGTGACTGCAACCGATTGTATCACCGTTTTGTGGCTTGTTTTCAATCCTTTGAGAGTCTCTTCAAGATAGTGTGCTCTTTGGTGATTGTTATCGTTCAACATGAATGGATGGTTGGGTAGGGACATGTTGAGGTTTGAAACATAAAAGTGTTGATTCCCAAACTTTGATGTCAATCTCGGCTCAAGTTTGGGAACCTTTTCCCTTTTCTGCCCGGGTCTGGGGGCCGCAGGAGTGCAAACCTGTGCCGATGCGCAGGGGCTTTGGCCGGCGGCTGCTACGTTGCTGCGTGAGGTGCCTCTACGAGGGGTTCCCCGACGCCCGACGAGAGCGCTACAGTTGAGGCGTTTTGGCATGCTGCAGCTCAGGGAGCTGCGCGTGCACACGACCAAAGTGTACATGCCATATAGGGGCCACCGTCTTGGCTGGAGTCCTCCACCTGTCCAGATGGCCCTGCGTGGCCACGGGCGACTGTGAGTGTGCCGGACACCTACCTCCAGGCCTCGCAGACCCGGCAGGCCTCGGGCTTGTTCTTGTGCACGCGCTGTTCGTCCTCCTGCTCATGGACTTCCCTAGACCTACGCCAGCTCGCGATTCCACGGGTGTACCTGGATGAGGTCCAACGAATCCAACACCTCAAGGACACCACCATGGCTGCCGCTGATGGGCTTGCAGTGCTAGTATGACACTGCTGTTCAACCTAGGAGGGTGCTTAGGCCTTGGAACCTCCTGCCTTATACCGCAGGAGTACAGGTCACGAACCGTCGTCTGATCTCCACGGAAAAGAAGACGTGCTCGCTTCACCATGAGGTGTCGTCTTTCATGTTTCTATATATTTCAATCGACGGCTATCAGGGGCTATCGGGTTCGATTTTGGGTCTGCTGCGTCTCTTAGTTTGCTCGATCCAGAGAATCCTTGTGAACTCTGTCCTATACTTGCTGCTAGTTGATTTTGCTGAGTTATTGCTTACTGTTCTTATTGTGTTCCTGTGCCTGGTGTAGTCTTGACACTTCGTGTCCCATTTGGAAACCAAAGTCTGCAATGCTGGACACTTGCAGGAAAGCGATTTGCGTTCATGCAGCTACCCGTCAAGGGCATCCATCCCCCTGGTTGCTATTTACACGTTTTTTTGTTCGACTACATACTAAGCACCTTCTCTTGCAGTCACTGCGTTTGTAGAGTCGTGGTTTTGGTGTGTTTGTAGAATGTGGCAAGCAGTCAATTGAAAAAGAAATTGATAGAGTCCTCTGCAATGGCCTGTTGATGTCAAGAAAACAGGTTCGTCCATGTTGTCTACCCAGTGCATGGTTCAGCAATTCGGGATGCAAACCTCAAATCTTGAGCCATTTCTTATTGCATGCACTTCAAATGAAAGTAGTTTTTCATGCAAGGCAGCGCAAAAACCTGTTGGTTATTGTCTTAAAACAAATACTACATGATGTATCATTTTTCATTATGGACAGCGGAGTATTAATATGGACCTGAGGTTAGTGCTTTGCGCTTGGTAATCAGTGCGCGGTTCTGCTTGAATTTGGAAAGCCTGGATGCCTCTGGCTTCAGCCAAGGAGACAAGGGGAGTGGGGATGGGTGGGGCATGTAGATTATGCAGGCATTGACATCGCCCAGCGAATGAGAGTTTACTCAAGTGTAGGAGAAAACAGAGGATCACCCAACGGAGTTATGTAGATTGGGAGTTATTAGATTGGTGGCCGTGTGGTGCTGTCTAAGTTCCCTATCAGTCTCTAGAAGGCCTCGGGTTTGCTAGCTAGTACACAGGAAACAATTTTCCTGCAAGTCGCATGGTGTTGAAATGAGACCACAAACTTGAACGTAGCTAGTAGCAATTGTAGGAATTTCAGGGAATTTCAAGCAAGGTAGCAACAGGCCAAAATGGGCCTGCTGCAAAGAGTTTCTCAATGCGGCTGACACATCAGGGCTGGTGGATGAGATCAACCACGGTCTGTTTGGCGCCCAGTATATAACTGGATTGAGATCCTCCTTTGCAGTGGCTTCTGGAGACAGATGAATGTGTTTGATATCACATGATATCACTTTGCAGAAACTGGATGTGACATGCAATACTGTACAGCGTTACTCATTTTTGTAGCATGTGCAAAGATTGGCTTCTCGTTGGTTGTCTTGTGTTTTTGTTAGACAACGCATCAACGAAATTCTCAAGGGAATTGCTGTTTCATGCGAGATTCTGGACTTGAGATTAGTTGACACATAAAACAAAGGAAGAACAAAGAAATGTACAAAGCAGGCAAGGCCCTTAAGTTCTTTTTCATTTCATTTACAGGAGGTGTCGAACTTGAGCGTAGGTCACCATTCGATCGATTGATCAAGAGGTTCCTTTTGCATTTCTCGTTGACCCGCCACCGATGGTGGCTCAAGCGGATCAACCCGCGAGGGAAAAGGTCGTGCAATGACCGTTAGGTTGTGGTAGGGGTGCGTCAGTTGGTACCCGGAGCCATGGCGAATGCTCGCGGCACCTCACCCGACCTACGGCCTGACAGCAGACCCTTCCAGAGCGAGGGGGATCAGGCTTGGTGGCAGCAGCAGGCGTGGGATGACTCCTGGTGGTCAGGGGGCTCTGGACAGCAGCCGGCGAATGGGGTCCCGGCTGCAGGGCAAGCAGAGCAAGTGACAACAGGAAGTCAGCAAGTAGATCCACTACAGACAGCAGATCCCTGGGCAGCGGCCTCGGCCACACAGGATGGTAATACTACACCCTGGCCGAGCTCTACTGCCTGGTCGTCGACTCCTCCGACGGGAAGTTCAGCGGCGGCGGCTTCTGCACCTGTGGTGCCACCTCCCGCAGGCGGGGCTACGACGACTACGCCACCTTCTACAAGTTCAGTTCCGTGCCCTGCGCAGGCACCTGATGTCGCAGCAGCCTCAGGGACTACGACGACGACACCACCCACTACCAGTTCGGCTCCGTGCCCTGTGCAGGCACCTGAGGCTCCAGTGGCGACCGAACCTGTGGGGGGGACTACAGCGTCGACGCCTTCACCTACCAGTACACCTACGTGCCCGGGGCCAACTCCTGGCAGTGCAGCAGCAACCGCTGCGCAATCCACGGGGGCATCACCTTCAACGAGTCTTTGGGACAACCAGTGGGGACAGTCAGGTTGGCGGTGGTCAAACTCCAATGGATGGCAGTGGGGCAGCAGTGGGAGTTGGCGCTCATGGGATTGGAACTCCCAAGGACACGACTGGGGCGGTGGAGGACATGGCTCACGTGGAGATTATGGTGAATTTGCGGGCTGGCCTGGATGGACTCATCGTCGCTACTGGGTTCAAGCCATTCGAAGGTGGGACAAGACTTCGGATCTCACGATCCCTCGCAAGGCAGAGAATGCGCTCCCTTGGCTGGGAAATGCAGCCTGACTTCGAGCGCATCCCGGAGTCCGTGCTGCACACCTCGGCCTACTTGGACCTCATCATCGAAGTTATCAACAACAAGGCTGGAGTCCGCGAAGATGATGAAAAGAGGCGAGTCTTCAGGGCCGCCATCTCAGACCAGAATCGTCACCGAGAGGAGACTCTTGCCCAGTTTGCCATGAGGAGACAGAAGGAATTCAGCCAGGCGACAGCTTTTGGGATCGTGATCCCTGACTCCTTCAAGGCGACGATGCTCAAAGAAGGGGCCAACCTGAGTGAACAGAATCAGCAGAATTTGTGCGCCCTCCTGGCAGGACAAGATGACGACCCAAACGCAGTGGCCAGAGCTCTCTCTCGCCTCGACGTCAGGTCAGATCGCATGGCTGGCTTCGTGGAGAACACTCAATCGAACTTGGAGAGCTACATGTCGACGAACGACGACCTTGAGGACCCCGAGGAGGACTCCCTGGACGAGGATGACATCATTCACGAACTGGAGCCACTCGATCTCACCGAAGATCAGGTCGCAGAGGTCTTCGCCGTCTTGGAGCAGAAGAAGAGACGTCCCAGGACGTGGAAGGAGAACAAGGACTTCAAGGCAGAGATGAAAAAGGATCGCACTTCGTTCACGAAGGGAGATGACAGACCCCGTGCTGGACGCCGCTTCGAGGCGCATGGCAAGCCACGACGTGGACCCTTCAATTGTGAGCAGTTGAAGAAGATCTCCCGATGCAAGCTATGTCTCCAGAGAGCCCAAAGACCTCTAATTAAGGGAAAACCCTCTAATTAAGGTAAAGCCCTTTAAAAACAACCTCTATTTAGAGGTTAATCCTTTAATTAAAGGTCTTTACCCCTTAATTAGAGGTCTTTGGTCCCTTAAAAAAGGTATAATCCTTTAAATAAAGGGTTTTGGTGCTAAAAACATACAACCCTTAAATAAGGGGTTTTGATGGCTCATGATTGGTGGGAAAAACATGTCAAACACATGTTTAGCTGACATGTTTAATCTGGTGAAACCTCCTGTTCCACTAAAGGAGGTGCCTCCTACATGAAGGAGCATTGTATATTTTTATCATATTAGTTGTATATTGTCTGTTTGAAGGAGAAGCCTCCTGCAAAGGAGACTTCCCCTGTTACCCCATACCAACCCAGCAGCTGCAGCACCTTTTTCTCAAAGCGAAGGGACCTGGTGCAAGGCTGCAAACTTATGGAACATGCCTTGTGCCACAGCCAAGCAACTGAGGTTACCTCCTCGCCTTCTAGCAAGTTCTGACATTTGCCCTCCCCAATCCTCATCTCTGTAGGTCCACCCAGTGGATGGGGAGGCTTTGGGGTCAAATGTCAGTTCCAAGAACAAATGTAGTTTTGGGGTAACCTTGAAAAGTTGTCGACCTTGCTGGACAGAAATTTGGTTCAAGGTGACATACAAAGCAGCAAACTTCAAAGCTTCTCTGTGCAAAGCACTTGGTTCAAACACTTGCTGGCTCAATTGCTGGTAGCAATTGTGCAAATGTTGGGCACATTGGATGACTGCAGCTTCAAAAGAATCTGCATTGTTGAGCAATACTGTGCATTGCAACGAAAACAAAATCAAGCCTTTTGCCTCTCCTGCTTTGGCTCTCAACTTAGGAGAAGTAGAACTGGAAGACTTTTTCTTGTCTTTGTAAAGCATGGAAGCCTTCAGCAAATGCATTTGGGAATCAATGGCATACTCCTTGTAGTAGTTCTTCATGCTGACACGCAAAGCTTTGCACCTCTGGTCCACATTGTTCCCAGGCAGCTTCTCTGACAACAGGACAAAGACAGAGGCTAAAGGTCATACATAGAGAAATAAAATATGAATCACTAGGTTTATGGTAAATAAGATATTCATGGTCAATGCTCATGTATGCATAGGAGGTGGTGGCCCTTCTCCTGCTGTGCCAAAACCGGAAGAAGTGCCTGCACCAGCTGCTGCTGCCACCGCAGAAGTTCCCAATGGGGGGGGCGTCCCCCCTGAAGCTCCCAATGAGGCTGCCAATGAGGTTGAGGAATCTCCCAATGAGGAGCCCAAGCCAGAGCCTGGGGCCAAAGATACTGAGAACTGAATATCTTCTCACATATCTTCCAAAGCCATCTCAGCTTGAAAAAAAGGTGTTGCTTTGCTGCTGGGTGGTGATGGATGATAAAGCTCCTTGGTGGGCAGGAGCTACAAAAAATAATACCTCCTGAACTAGGAGGTCAATAATCAACGGTTGATATGTTAAAAAAAACCTCCTGGGATTAGGAGGTATGTAAATAATTTAGGGCTTCTACAAAGACCAACCATTTAACTTCATTTAACTTCATTTAACTTGGTCCATTTAACTTCATTTAACTTATACATTTAATTGGAAATGCTTTCATTTTGGTAAGTTAAATGAAGTTAATTTAACTTATGGTAAGTTAAATGAAGTTAATTTAACTTGGAAAATGAAAGCATTTGCAACTAAATGGCCAAGTTAAATGAAGTTAATTTAACTTGTGCTGGTTTTCACAATTTAATTGGAAATGCTTTCATTTTCCAAGTTAAATGAAGTTAAATGAAGTTAAATATATACATGTTTGTGGCCATGAGCTAGTTTGATAAGATTTTAGGTGAACAACACAAGGTTTGAGGATTGTGCACTACATTCCTTTTGGAAACAGTGCATTTCAAATATCATGTCCAACAGCTTTTTCTTGGTTTCTTCATTAGTGCATTCTCTGCCAAAGATTTTGGTAGCTGCCAAAGACTTTTCATTGCAAACAGACATTCTGCATTTTGATAAGCATCACTGCAGCTTTTGACTATCAAGATACAGGTGCACCTCATTTGACACAGAGGCTGCAGGTTCTGCAACTGCCTCAGGCTCGTCCAGGGCCAAGGATGCTGCAGGCTTCTTCAAAGCTGCAGAGGCTGGCCTTTTCATCGGTTTGGAAACAATGTGCAATGCCAGGTTGGGAGTATCTGACTCACACTGCTCCTCATTGCCAAATTGGTACAGCAAAAAGCCTTTGTCCCCAGGAACACATTGGGCTTCCAATGTCTCACCATTGGCTAGCTGCCTCTTCATGACACCCTTCTCCTGGTCGAAGAATTGCAAAAGCACAGCAGCAGTGTCTCCATTCTCGTGTTCAGGAGCTACTTTCATGTCTGCAACAGGAGGGGCGTTCCCCTCCTGAGAAGAATAATCCACTGCAAACACTTGGGATTTCATGGCTCTCCTTTTGGAAGGTGGGCTCACTCCATAAAGCTCACAGGGATTCACTTTGCTACTGCTGCTAGCTTCAGCTTTGCTGCTGCTGGCAGACTGAGCAGCCGCTGCCACAGGCAAAGAAGCTTGGGAGAATGAACGCTTGGGAGCAGCAACTTGGTGACTGGAAGGCTCCAGGCGATCCCATTTAGACATGGCATCCATCACCCTTTTGACAGCAGGATGGGTTTTGGCACCTCTTTTTTTACTTCTGCGTTCAACCAAAGCACAAGCCAGTTGCCTGCTAAAATATTTCGCTTCATCCACACTGGTGCCCTCAAAGGTCTTCAAGACAGCAGTCTGCAAAAGAGTTCTGTTGACCCTGGGTGTCTTTGACAGCAAGGCCAGCAAAAAACTCTCATAGGAAGCTACCACCATGGCAAAGTTCGTGTCTTTGTAGCCATCTCCCTCTCCCTTAGGAGCTTGTTGACATCTTCCTGGCTGCAGGAAGTGGATGCTCTGCCAAGTTTCCCTTGGCCAGACATGGTGACACACAGCTGGCCTAAAGCTTGGGAAAGAAAAGGCTGCAACATGTATTCCTTGGCCTGGCCAAACACAAATTCCACACAAACTTGCACAGCTCACAGCAAGGAGCTCCTGACATGACACAAGGAGCTCCTATGAGTCATTATCAACAAGAAAACTATATTTGTTATGTAGAAAAACATACCCTTGAAAACCCTCTAATTAAGGTCTATTGAAAAGACCTTAATTAGAAGGTTTTCACCTTAATTAGAGGTTCTAAATTTAAGGGGTTTTCATTTAGAGGGTTTTGGGCTGTCTGGGAGGGACACTGGGCCGAGGACTGCGACATGAACAAGTCTGGGAAGAAACCTATGCCCAATGCTTTTTCCTTTTGTAGCTCCCAGGAGCGACCATGCAGGACCGCCTTCACCTTCTGCTCCCTGGCGACCTTGAGGCAGACCATCCGACAAGTGCTGCCGAGCCCCAAGGAGCTCTGCGAGCAGTGGAGCTTCTTGACCCTCTCCTCCGGAGACGCCATTTTGGACATTGGGGCCACACAGGACCTCGTCGGAGAGACGGCTCTTCTTTCGATGGCACATCACCTCAGGTCTCTCGATTTGCAGTTCATCGAGGTAGACACTCATGTTTTGACCCCGGCAGGAATCGGAGGAGCAGCTCAGGTGACTCGAGTCGTCCTGGTTCCCATCTCCCTCGGAGGATTTCCGGGAGTGCTGGAGTTCACGGTGTTGGAGGGCGGCATTCCACCCTTGCTCAGCGTGGGCTTTCTTGAGTTCTTGGAGGCCGTCATTGACCTGCCTCACGACCGGGTGTCCCTTCCAGAAGCTCGGAGTAGACCTCCCGCTGACCCGTCTTAGTTCCGGACACCGAACCACGCAGCTTTTCCAATGGAAGAAAGGCTCTGACTTTCCCATTCCTCCCGAGCTGGTGAAGAAGTATCAGCTGTCGGACGGAGCTTTCAACCTCTCAAACACCTCCGCATACATGAAAGGGAGCCACTCTTCGCACTCCGTCGTCGAGCCGTCGAAGAGTGTTGTCCCAGCGAGCTTTATAGACCTTTGCAATGAGCCCAATCTATCAGGGCAGGTTGTCATAGAGGATGTGTCAGAGTCACCACCGAAGAGTTTAGAACCACCATTCACACCCAAGACAGTTCACGAGTCAAGGGCATGCGCACTTCATCACGCACAAGAACATGTACATGAGTCAAGGGCATGCGCACCTCACCACGAGAGTCAGCTTGTTGGACGTTTTGAACACGCTCATCACCGGCCACCGCCGCAGCGCTCAGGCTCAGTCCGCTCCATGGGCAATCGCCCATCCACCGATCTCCAATTCGAAGTGACTGCTCCCTCTCCTTCCGATGGCCGGATCTCGCACGAATCCAAGGGAGCAGCAGCAAGTGCCCGAGGAGCGCTGGAACGGCTTGATGACCGCGCTCATGAACAAGCTGGAGAGCAACCGAGTCGCCTACAAGAAGCTGGTCGAGGCCGAGCTGAAGACCAAGAGTCTGGCCTCCAACCGCAAGAAGTATGTGGAGGCAGTCAGCCAGGCACCCGGCCGGTGCTTGCATCCGAAAGAACAGGTAGCATCCCGGGCCAACCAGTACGCATCCTGGACGGCATGTCTCCAGTGCGGCGCTCGGCTGAGCTACGCCTCCAAGACCCGCTCCCGGGCGGCGGCAGCCTCATCGTCGACGAGGGCATCTACAAGGACCTCCGCAGCGGCAGCTACCAGCAAGGCAGCGGTGACGTCGGGACGCCAGACGACGGGGTACGGGGTTCCCGAACCTCTGATGGCCAGTGCCTCCAGCGAGGCGACTCAGATCGTGGGAGAAGCCATGTCAATGCTGCAGGTTCAGAACTCTCAGCTGGCTACGGCGCTGACGCAGATCAATCACTCACTGCAGCAACTGGCACATGGTCAGAGCCAGATGATCACGATGGCAAATCCCGGTCCACTGCCTGCCAACTCCAATCTGAATCCGCAGACTCAAGGAATCATGCCGACGGAGATGCAGGTCGATATGATGTCGGATCATTGGTCGGCGACGGAGGTGGACTGGTCGCACCTGCCATCCCCGAAGAGCAACCTGACCGACGTGGAGGAGACAACGGAGGGGGACTTCAGCAATAATCCAAATTCGTGGCAGGGAGTGGTTTCATGAGGTGGGTGGTTTGCCTTTTTGGGCAGGCTGTGATTGGCTGACCCACTGACTATGTTGGCTGCTGTCATTCAACCTGTGAATGATAGTTGAGCAGTGACAGCCCCATCATTGGAACTGTGAGTGGTCATGGAGCAGCCCCATCACCAGGACTGGCTCAGAACCTGTCCTTCAACCTTATGATAGTAGTGAAAATATTCCCTTTGATTTTTCCTTTCCTTGAGCAGTCTCTCATACCAATGAGGGCTTGAACCAAAGACGTTGCCAAAAAACACGCTCTACAAAGCGCAGCCATACGCAAAACAATTACATGGCACTGAGACACGCGCGCGCAGCACACACACACACACACGCACATACACACACAGAGCGCAACAAACAATTGTTTTTATTCAAGTATTCTTCAAACTTCAAACTAGACCTGCAACAGACTGCTTTGGCACAAGCGTTTACTAGATAGGTTCAAAAAACTGAGAGCCTACAAACTCGAAAAAACATCTTGGTCGTCTCAAACTTTCCAGGCGATCTTTTTGTCGAACACGTTCGAGTCAGCAACATGCGACCATCATGTGACCCGGTGTCACTTTGAAAAACCCCAACTGCCGCTTGCAGCTGGCAACGCTTTTTTTCTGCAACTGCGGCAAGCATCGTTTTTTGCGAGGACTTGAAGGACACTCAGTGTCAGACTTAGCCCTCCCCTTCCACAAACAAGAGCCGAACTTCTCACACCCTTGGCAAGCGTAGGCTTAACACAGGTAGAACTCGCAACGAACTATTATATAGTATATATGGGTTAACCATGTTTTTTGCACCCTTGGAAGCTTCTGCCACAGCTGCCGACAAAGATTTCGCAGCGAAACTTTGGTCTTTGGTCAAATGAGCCGCGCAGAACATATCAGTTCACTCACATTCGGGAACGCGTTGAGCTAGCTCCGGAAGCCTGAGATAGACTTCTACAGCTACTTCAAGTTCATTCAGTCGCAAAGCATGACTTGCAACAAACCCCTGCTGTTGGCAGGAAGAGAAAAGAAGAGAAGTCTCCTTTATCAAAGAAACGTTGTCAAGTGGTGAAGGCACCAAAACTTCTCAGCACACAAGCGCACAACAAGGATCTCGCTCTGGTGCTTGGGATCTTCGGGCATCCTTATTCGGCTGACATGTTTAAACAAAAATCATGGCTGACAGCTAACGAGTAAGGCCAGGTCGGGTGGGTGTACTGGCAAACCTCCAAAACAGGTTCAGAGCCCACTTGTAGTTCTGGCGAGATCACAACGGCCGCTTTGTTCACATACATGTCGGCATCTGCTCCAGACCTAGCACGCTTTTGCTGTGACATGTGATCATCAGACTAATCAAGAGTAGTTCGATATTTCAAGACCCTAACACACCCCGTAAAGATTGAACTTGAAACGCCATCAAATCACCGACTGGCAGAGACAGAGATGTGTACTGGAAGGTCTCCGCCAGGTGCTGTCGGACTCTTTCCGAAAATTTCAGCTGACTTTGTGGAAGTTGTAAAGCCTGCGCACTTGCCAAACAAGATCCTTGGCTATGAGGACACAAACAAGGAAGGCAATCTGGAACCATGACATTCGACACGCAAACGACAGCCTTATGAGATCTTGTTTAGCGTCAAAGTGTGACCGTGCTCTGGAGGGCCAGCTTCTTCCGATGCCCCCAAAAGCACAATTGATTGTCCAAATTCATCAAAGGTTGCTTTTTGCGCTTGGCAAAAACGGATGATCGCGCAATCCGGCAGCTGCATGTCTCGCACAAATCCAACCATCTCTGTTTTGGATACGTTGAAACTTTTGACCGCACCAGGCGACTCATACCGGAAAAACTGCATGCCAGATATCATGGCGATTGAATTTCAGTCTCGAGCGACAGTCAACCTTAGACCTGAGAGCCACTGCAAGCCAGCAATCCACCTGTGCAGCATGAACCTCGACTCAAAGCGTTTCAAAGAAGAGCGAAACGATGTGCCCACTATCAAGGCCCTAGGCCCCAGGTTCCAAACAAGCGCTGCACATGAACAGCTCAGTATAGATAGAAGGTCTTCTCAGCTGCTTTTTCCAAACTCTATATACACTGGTCTGCGACACTGCAGTGTACATCAGTTGGCGTCCGGAACAAAACCGGCTTTCAGTGCCTCACTGTAAGACTTGTAAGTTTTGTCTTTGTGGTGAAACAACCGCCATGGTTTGCCCTTCAGATCCCCAGACCCGCGGATAAACTCTCGAACCTGCGCAGCAAAAAGGCCGAAGGCGCTACATTGCTACATTACATCAAAAAATGACGGCTTCAAAAACATTGCGTAACATGATGTAAAGTAACAGTAGTGCATTGAGCCTCGCACCGTCCAGTCTCCGTTGATCCCTTCACGCCGCGGCCCACCATCTTGCGTACGAGGAAGAGGAAGATCCGTCCATTCCCAATCAGCGGGATTAAATGAACCCGGAAGCCTTTTGTTTTTCACTGGCTGCGCTGCATCAGAACCACCTGTGGCAGCCTCACCTTGATCAGGCTTCGGTCTTTTCTTTGGCGATGGCTCAGAAGAGCCAGCTGGCCTCTTGTAGGAGACAACACCTTTTGCAGCTGGCTCAGGCTCAGCAGAATCAGAAACAGCTGGCCTCTTGTGGGAGACAACACCTTGCGCAGCTGGCTCAGGCTCAGCAGAATCAGAAGCAGCTGGCCTCTTTTGGGAGTTTACACCTTTGGTAGCAGGCCTTTTCTTCAGCGTTGGCAGGCTCAGTTCCTCTACCTCACTAGCTTCGAAAGTGCCTTCTTCTTCGTGGGGCTTTGACGGAGGCACAACAAATGATGGACTCTCCACAGCATCACTCCTCACACCAGCTACCCCAGCACTCTTCCCATCACCCAGCCTCGCCCCATCACTTGTGCGCTGTCCCGGCTCATCCTCATTCTCATTCTCCTCCTCATCCTCTCCGAACACAAGTGTCTTGGCATGGAGTAGCGCGCTATTGCCAGTCTCACCATTGACAGGAGTGACGCTGCCTACTGCTTGGGGTTCTGCTGTTACTGCTGCTGCTGGTTGCTGTTCTGCTGCTGCGGCTGCTTGGCGGTCACTTCGAGAAGGGCTCTCACTTCGCAACTCCTCAGGCTTGGGCTTGGGCTGCGGTGACTCAAACTCAGACAAAGAATTGCCAGAGCGAAGCCGCAGCAACCTCGCAGCATCCGACCTGACAAGGCTGCGAAAATCAGGCCCTTCCATCGCGCCTGAAATGGACAGGCTGAAGGAGCCTTGAACTTGAAACTATGCAGAAAAAGCCGCCTGCACAAAATCACGCAGGACGGACAGTAACATGTTTCAGACACACACACACACACTGGAACGCAGGCTTGGGAAATCACACTTTTCACAGAGCGATGCGTTCTCCATCCTTCACTTTAACAGTCAGCCACTTAGCATCAAAAGCTTCTGCTGGACGCAAACACGACAGTTGTTTCATAACTGCAACGAGGAGGCAAATACGATTGGATTCTGCAAACTTGGCGCGCAGAAGCATCACACAGCTGACAATGAACCAACCCACGGAAAAAAAGAGGGGGTGCGCCGAACGTCAAGCACAGCTGCTTCCATTCCAATCGAGTTTTGGACAACAAAAAACGCTGTATACATCATAAATCAACTGAACTTTGAGCGTCACACCCCACCCTTCCCCCCGCGCTACGCTGCCAGCACTGGCTTTCCAGGCTCCAAGGTCAAAGCTGACTGCAGCATGACGTAGGGTTTCTGACACTTGGTCACGGAGTGGACCCGGTCATAGCCTGACAGGACATAGGGAGTGGAATGTACGAAAAACACCTCATGACTGGTCAAATGGTGAGAAGGCCACACATCACAGAGCAACTTTTGAACCTGAAAGGTCCGAGAAACGAAACCGGAATACCACCCTCAAGATCTTGGACTTGGCGATCAGGGCAGCTGCATCATAGAACACTGACTTGCACGTCATTGGTTTGGACAGGTCCTCACGAAGTCAACTGGCGAGAACAAAGCACCGATCCTGACCCGAAAGGTTTAGAACGCAACTTGACAGGACCTATTGGCAAAGACTTGGAATGAACCGGCACACTGATTACAACACGTGGCAAGAATCTGGAATTGTTCGGTAGGCGTGAGGGTTCTTCACCTTCACGGAGAAGCCGTCGCCCGAAGCATCAACCTGACGTGAGATCTCAGAGTAGCTCACATCGTAACGCGTCACCTTCTTCTGCTTCTCCAGCAGAATCAAATATTTGTAGAGTGTCATGGACTCGATGGCCGTGCTGTCAGGGTTCAAGCTGGCCATGTCGATCTGGACCACGGTACGGTCCCCTTCCTCCCAACTGACAAATACATTCTGCTTTTCATCGAGCTGTTCACCAGGGGTCACAGGATGGTACCTGATTCAAAAACAACTCAACTCAACACAAACACAAACACAACTCAATCTAATCCTTCACACAAACATTTCAAAAGAAACCCAAATATCTAAAAAGGTGAGACATGGTGAGACCTTTCCGAGACACTTCCCTGTCCCAAAACCGCCCACCAACGTGTGCTTGGGCAAGATCTTTTGCTTGTCCAAGGCCATGAGATATACTGAACCAGACTTCCCACGCAGCACCTCAACGCCAGCAACTTCGGAGCTGCAGCGCGGCTTCAGAGGGCCGTCTTCTCCCTCCAAGGCTTCCAAATTCTCAAAGACCTTGATATCTGGCGCTGAATCACCGCCAGAAGATTCATCAGCAGGGCGAACGAGTGTGTCTTCGACCACTGTGCTGCTCTGCACAATGTCCTTCAGAAGGGTCTGGTACTTCCCCTCATGCTGCGCTTTGAGCTTGGCAAACCTTGGGACTGATCGCGCAGTCAAGGCCAATCATGTTCAAGAAACTAAAAGAATATGGTGCGGCGGTAAAAAACATTGCCGCCATTCAAGGAGCTCATCACCAATGTCTCCCCCGACAGCTTCCCACTGACGCAGCTGATCAGGGTG